AAAAAAAAAAAAAACAAATGTCTCTAAAGGCGAAAGAAAAATCTTGTTCAAGGATACAATGAAATCGGAGAGAATAAGAGTAAAGAGTAAAGAGTTTGTGCGTGCATTTCTCTCGCATTTAATCAAAAGAAATGAAAGAGAATTCTTGCTAGCAATGATTTAGTAGATGATTTCAAAATTTTCTAACTGCAGACTCTATATAACAATTCTTTCTTTTTTTTTTTTTTGAAAAAGATACTTATCCGTGTAGTTGTTATAGATTAAATAATTAAATTTAAAACAAATAAAAAAGCCAATCATTTTATAATAATAATAACTTGGAAAATAGGAGCGGGAAATGAAATCGTATACGGGATAAGCTACAGTGCAATAAATAATCTTTTGAATCATTTTCTTTTGCTTTGTTTTTTTTTTTTTTTTTAATGAAAAGAAGAAATTTTGTGTTTGTTAAAATATTTTGCATATATGTGATTTGATGAAAAACACATGTAAACTGTAAATCCAGGCAATCAATCATAAAGAACAGAAGAATAGTTAACACAACTATGCTGCGGTGTTAATATTTTCATTAAAGGAATTTATGGCTTATCTCTAACAATAACAATAATTACGTCCTAATATAATATTATATATAATAATATGTATACATTAAATTAAAAAAAAAAAAACTATAGAATTTTATATACATACATACATACATACATACATAATTACATAAAAAAAGAAAATAAAAGAAGAAGAAGAAACTTTTGATTTAAATATTTAGCCTGATATGTTAATTCGAAGACAATTTTCTATTGTTTATCTATCTTCTGTTTTAATTGTTTTAAAATATCTAAAGTATGTGTCTGTCTATACGTTATTAAATATGTATAACATGATCAAATCAATGGCATTAATGCAAATAAAAATTGAAGTATATGTGTATAAGAAAATGTAGTTAAATATAATTGATTTTCATTTATTGAAATCAATCTGTGCTTCCATCCATCCGATCGTTCTTATTAAAGCATTGTCAACAGTCTTATATAATCTGACAGTTTCTTTATGCGCAAAAAAGTAAATAGGTAAACATTCTTTACAATATCTTCATCATGTCTTTAGGAGCGATGACATGAGCAGGCAAGCATTCATTCACTCTGGCAAAGGTATATTCTATAAATATAGCGGCAGCTGTAGGGCACAATGAAATTCCTCCACACTTTTTTACCACTTGTATACATCACATGTGATAGAAGGATGTACTAAACTTGTGAGGATCTATGCAAGGATCTGTGCGGCAGGAACGGTTTATATTATATATATATATTTTTTTTTCTACTTTACTTCGCGGATACACACTACGGTATACGTACGTACTCAACTGCCCGTATTAGGCCACTTTCAGTACCACTTCCCTTATAACGTCTTAGTTTGAAGAATCTTTAGATAGTCGTTTTACTTAATAAAATTATTCTTCATAATTATGACTTTTCGTCATATAGAAAAGAAAATGAGGAAAATTACTTATCTAGGTTCGTCGTGGCTACAAATCGTTTTCAATAGATTTACTCTTCTGCCGCAGCTCAGATGCGCTTTATTTGTCGTGCAATATATCACAAATTGATCGCGGACATCTTCTTTTCCTAAAAATAGCGTACACAACGCAGATCAACTCATACAACTCTATGTGTTATTGACATGAGAACAGAACGAAGTGGGTAAACGGATTCCAATTTTTTCAATACGATGAGTAAAATGACTTCGACACATGCAACGCTAAAATTTCAAAGAGTAATTAAAGCATGTCCCATACGGTCCCTTCAAAACCGCCGCTTTGACTTACATACATAAGAGCTTTTCGAAAAATTTCTATCTTCTCGAACGGTTTTGTCTTAGACTAAGATATGTTTGCAAACAAACGTTAATAAGGTTGCAAAACGTTCGCTAAGCGCTTGCTAGTCCCGTCTTGGAATGTCAACAGTAAATCCGACAAAATGAACAACATTATCTTAGTAATAATCGGCACACGTTTAACGCCCTTTGAGGCAATTTAAATAGTATTGTAATTTAATTAGTTTGCGACGTTCGCGATCATCGGATTGCCCCGACTCCCTGGATGTATACGATTTCAAATTGTAACACTTTTTTATGGACAACTTAAAAGGATTATTGAATAGATCGTTTTTTTCGCTTTATTATAGTGTTTCGCGTGTTTCGCCCTTCTCACGAAGGAGTCGCGACACGGAATTGTTATAAAAACGTTGGTGGACACCGGCACGCGGTGGATTAATGAGTGGTGAGCAGTGATATGAGTATCAAATGAAAGGATATGGAAAGTAGAACGCGACTACGCGAAAGCTATGTGTGTCAATTACGTTACATGAATTATGGTTTATGTCACATTGCAGCGGACCAAATTTTTCTTAACAATAAGGTGAAAGAAAAATTTAATTCAACTCAATTTTTTATGCCAATAAATAGAAGCAAAGGGATATCAAAGTTATTAATGGCCAAATATAACTTTCTTACTCATTGCAATTTCTAACTCCTTGCCACATGTAAACATTTCATAGGACAAACAAAGGTGTGCCATCAATACAATGTTCTTTTTTCGTCCTAAGAAAGGAATTATTATCATTTTTAATAATAATATGTGAACGGAAGAAAATCGCGGCTTCTATACAATACCGAGATCAATGAGTAGTGAAAGAAGACAAACCAGATTTGAAGTCGATGAGAAGCATTATTAATTTGCCTCATGCAAAGTATGGAGGACGTGCAATCTAATTGTCCAGCCATCTCACTTCAAATGAGTAAACAGGCCAGATTGTGGATTCACTAAGAGTCTTAAACTAATTATGGGTCACTGAATGCTAAATTTGCCTTCAATATTTGATGCCGGGTTATGGGTTCCTTTTCGTAAATAAGTATTTTGTTAGATTGAGAGCGGATTTTTTGTGGCGCAAATTTCGAATCATGGCATCCTTTCTTTCGTTATAAAAAAAAAAAAAAAAAAAAAAATTAAAAATTTAATAACATTTAAAATCAATCTTGTCAAATTCAAATTTTATTTCTCTTTATGTTTTTGTTACTGTGAATAGAATTTAGGGCTTACTATTAATTTAGCCATAGTAAGTATTATTACTATTATTAGTTTTATTATTATTATTATTATTATTTATTGTTACAATTATATATTTACGAAGTGAGCTTGAAATAAATTTTGGAATTGGATAAAATAACATTTCAATGGCGATTAAGACGTTTCACGTTAGTAATCCTCTTCTAAATGATAAAAATTAAAAATTTTTATGTATATATTTATTTCATTTATTTTATTTTCAGATGTGTACATAAATTTATTACTGTTGTGTTGTTGTTTGTGACGAAAACCTTTAACATAAATAAACAGAGTGTACAAAATAATTGTTTCATTGTACATTTCCTTTTCGCTTATTTTTTTTTCTCTTTAAGATTCATGCAAGTTTTTTCCATTTAATATCAGAATTTCCCGCAAAACGCCAAATTTTGTTCTAATTTAAAGCGATGTATGAGAATGGACAAAGAGCATCGTTAGACGTTAGATGAAACAATAATTCGCATTCGAAAAACTCAACATAATTATAAAGGGAATAGGAAATAATATTTTAAGAATACCTAAAATCCCAAATATCTTCTTGCCTTTTTTCTTTGTTTTTCCTTTTTTTTCTTTTTTTTTTTTTTGCTTATAATATACCACAACAAGACACTAATATCAAATCCTTATCATATTCAGCATTCAAAATTAGCGGACATTTTGAGTTTCCGCTTGTCGATCTCACGGTATAGGTAGTAGCAACAGTTGATAGATTTCTCTTAAAATTATTGGCACAAAACTTATGGCAACGGCAATGTGAAATGCCCTTAAGCATTGGCGTTTTATCGTTTGACGAGCATAACAAACAACAGCATTGCTCCGAGATTGGCAAAGGCAAAACGGTATGTGCATTGACAGAACTTATATGGGGAATACGGTGTCAATTTATACTTGAAACCCGGCTACCCAATAGACTTTTATTATTGTTAAAGTACACATTGCTCATCCGCATATGTTCGAAAGTTAATGGCACACCCAATCGTTGATCTCGCTTTTTATAATATTCATTGAAATCTAATCGTATGCCAAAGAGTTGCAGATTATGATCATTATTTGAATTGAGAGCCAGCAGAAAACATCTAACAGCTTTCTCATAATCACCTCCGATATTCTCCAAAGTCTTATGATAACTAACCAATGTTTGTTCAAATATCTTAAATTCCTGATCTCGCTCAAATTTTTTTTCAGTTGTCACACCATATTTACCAAGTTTCTCAGATTTTCGTACCTCATCCTCGTATTTCTTACGTGCCGTCAATTCGCGAAAACATAACTCGTAAAATTTATCTTGCCAAACCTCTAAACGTATAATGCCTTCATAAACAGTTTCCATAGTTCGACATAATTCACCTGAATTTGAATCGAGGAAGGCACCACATTTGATGCCATTTAAAAATTCATCGTGAGCGTTTAATATATCATCAAGTGCTTTTGCTTGTTGCACCTTTTCTTGCAATTGAGCCCACGAGCATTCAATTACCTCAAAGAGTATATAGTATTGCATTTGGTGAATGAAATGTATCATTTCGGATGTGAAAAGATGTAATCGATACAAAACTTTTTGTAATTGCGCGGCCATACATCGTAACGGCTGTAAGGATTGATAAATTTAAAATCAATTAGTTAATCTTCGTATATTAAGGACCGACGAATGAATACTTTTGGCGAACTAATATATCACAATCGGTCTCAATGATAATTTTTATTGAATATAAATAAATATTACTTCTTCAGCTCATTTAAAAATTTGTTTCAGGTCCAGCTCATCGTTAAAACATAAATATTTGCCGTAGCAAGTATTTTATGCAATAGCATCAAGCTTAATAAAGTGACAAATAACATAGTTTATTGGGAATTTATTAACAATTATTAACTTTTTTTTTTTTTTGAGAATTTTTGAGCGCTTTCCAGCAAAAGTAATGCATCTCTTGGGAATTTTTAGATAAGCGCGTTTTAATCGCTGCTAAATAAAACCGCGATAACACAATTTTGAGGCAAATAAAGAAAAATGCTACTATTTTAAACAATTCGCTCCCCGTACTGTGAGTCAACGGTACTCTTTTCTGTAGCCCGTGTTGTCATCTTAAAAGAAGCATTGCCATCGTACCGGCTTTTAATTTATTTTTCTCTTTCTTTTCATTGCTTTTTTTTTATAACAGAGCAGTACGATTCGTATCGCACCGAAAAGCACAAAATAAAACGTAACTTTGTAACTTGCGTTACCTGATGGATAGGGTTAAAACAACAACACATACGTCACAGATGATGACAACATTTTATATATTGCTTGTACCCAGAAATACACATTATCGATAAACGTCAGATTCCGACTACATTTAGCCATGTTCGTCTGTCTGTCTGTCTTTCAGAATTAGTCTTCTCGCAATAAATATGGATAATATGGGTTTACATACAAATTGATAATTTAGAGTCATATATTTAAGTCCAATATGGCAAAATATTAACAAAAAATAAACGCTAACTTTAAATAGTGCTGCCAATTATTTAGAAACTAAACAAATGTAAGTCAAACTTTAGAGTATCATTCGTAAAATTACTTTTAAGAAATAATTATAACTTTTTATCTATTGAAAAATGTATAAAAATCTATACGTTTTATAGTTTATGCATAAATCGTTAAAATTTTCTCGTCATGCGTCTTCTGTAGCTGTCGCAAGTTATATAAAAATGCATCCGGCATTTAACTGACAAGTAGTGCGTCGTTTATATGATGATAGTCTAAGCAGAGTTTTACACGATACGACTCGATTCGTTGCTAATTAATACTAATACAGGCATCATTTTTGCAATAAGCGCAATTTTAATATAAAAGCTATTTTGTCTGCACTTTGGTAGTATTTCATAATTCTAAGTAGAAGAGTGAAAAGCAATAGTAGGCTTTGTAACAAAACTCGCTATATCACTAAAAAAATAAAGTAAAAAAAAAGGAGAGAAAAGTGCATTTAACGCTTGCAATTGAAATATCTCAGGACTATATAACTACTAATAAAAAAATAAAAAAAAAAAGATGATTCTTAGTTCGGATGCCGTTTTCCAAAAGATTAGCGATGGTCTCAAGGATAACGAGGCTAAAGCTAAAGCTGTTAATGGCGTGTTCTTATACAAAATCACCAAAGACGGAAAAGCGGTGAAAGAATGGAGTAAGCTTTTTGTGTTCGATTTGAAACTTGTTAAAAGAAATGTTTAAATTTCAAATGACTTCACTTCCAAACATATAGTCCAAAGGGCATTTAACATATCAATGACGAATTACATTTTTTTTTTATTTTATTGCTACGCGTTTTAGCTTTGGACTTGAAAAATGCTAAAATTTATGAAGGGCCGGCCAAAGGTGTTAAAGTTGATACTACTTTAACCGTTAGTGATGAAGATATGGTGGACATTGCTATCGGAAAATTGAATCCTCAATCTGCTTTTATGAAGGGCAAACTTAAAATAAGTGGCAACATAATGTTAACACAAAAATTGGCTCCTTTATTAAAGCAAGCTGATGCCAAGTTGTAAATACATCTCGACGCATATCCAGTTGCAAGAAAGCTATGAAGGCATCATAAGTAATAGTGGGCTATGGATAATAATTTGATTGTAAAAACATTCTCGTTTCTTTGTTTTTTATTTCATTGATGTTAAATGAAGTCATTAATTCCATTAAAGAGAGAAAAAGAAAAAAAACGCATCCCAGTGTTTTGTGCCGTGTTTCGTTAATTTCCTTGTTAATAGAAATAAAGCATAACTTTTGTATTTACTATGTAAAATTCTATTCTTTTCTATATATGTCTGTCCGACAAGTGGTTCAATTCTTTGCTTTCTTGATGCCAGCATTGCTGCGAGCATTGCGAAACGAATTAATTGTATGTTTTATCATGGTTAAATGGTCAACTTGGATCATTCGAACTTGACGTGTCAAAGGGTATACTGCACTCTACATCATATTTACAAAGCCAAGTTTAATTTTGTTTATATTCAGATATTGAAGACACTAACTAACTAACCATAACCAATTTATCTCATCTAGCAAAACCAAATTTGGTTTCATATGCAAAAACCGATTTCATATATGAACCACAAAAAAAAAAGGAAAAAATTTTCGCAAATAAAACGATTATATAATGAACTGTTCAAAGGTTTAAAAAAATAAAATGCAAATTGGCCTTGCGTTCAGGTATTCTCTTCTAGCCTCTAAGTGCAATGTCTGCAAAAATGCACTTCAGTCGACTTTAAAATCGAAAAGGATGAAAATGTACTGAGTTAATAGATTTTTGATCAAGCTGCTGAATGACTTTAAAATTCCTTCTAGATTGGACAAAGCAGAGATAATTGCCTTTCGAGTACCGAAAATAAAGCAAAAGATATTAATCTTAAAACAAAAACCTGCACTCCCTCAAGTATTGACGTTCGATGGCACCGCAAATCTTTGGAAACCTATAGTAAATAACCGAAAAATAGATGTGCATAACTTTAACAGTTTTTCCACTTTTCCGCAGGGTTGAGCATTTTATAATGTGACAAGCAACGAACCTGATGAACTAATCTTAATCTCTACTCTAATGAATATCTTTCCCACGTATCGCCCAATTTTTTTACTAAAATTACTGATTTTAGCATATATTTACCATAACTTTACCTAAAGAACTGCACCAAAATTTAAAGCAAAGTGAAGAATGTAGATATTTGCAGGCCTCGACTTGGCGTTTGATCATTTTGAGGTTAGGTTATACCCTTTTTTACCTTTGGCAACAGTCACGTTTGAAGAGAGATCTTAAAATTAATTCAAATTCTTCATCAAAAATCGTATCGATAAAAATAATTTTCAATATTAAATCATTTTCATTAAGCTATTACGTTATATACACATATACATATTTCGTTAATATAGTATACATGGGCTAAACTTACAAATTTTGGTGAATCATTAATTGTTAGTAATAAAACTGATTGTTTGGAGCATAACAGACACCGGGGATGGATTTTATCGGACTTTACTTTCTTTTAAGCAATGAGTTCGAGCCGTCAAGCACAATAGCAAAATGCATTAATTATTTTCGCATAAATTGTACGATTGAATGTCATCGACACACCGAGACTTCAATTTGCCAAAGAATTTACTATTCTTCACCAACCTTAGTCATAGAATAAAAAAATTAAAACTTTTTGTCCTACTGAGGCGAACCGCTTGTGACAGCCTTTTTACTTTATTAGCCTAAAAGAGTAATTTTCGTAAGAACATTCATATGGCAGGAGTCTGAAAAAATTATCTTTATCCTCTTTAAATTTTCCAAGTGGTAATTTTTGTTACATAACTTTTTTTGTGGGAGGGGCTCAAATCAATTTACATCGATGTAAATTTTAAATTGATTTCGAATCAATCGATTTAGTAAGAACTTAATCTATCTCATGTTTCATACATTCGCAACTAACTTTATTGTACCCTTATCATAAGAAAGAAAGTACGCTCGAATTAGCTCGATAACACCAACTGTCCGTGTGCCTTTCCAATATTTAAAAACTGATAAATAAAATGTACATACCTATCAGCAAAAAGCAATTGCATACAATGTTTTGAGTATTCATTATTAGGTGAGGTCATTTTCAAGAGATGAACTGAACCGATTCTAGCAATATATCAAATCTTATGGATAAGTCTTTATGTAAGTATTTGCGTTGATGCGATAAGTGCATGTATTTTGATATAGAAGGGGAGAGCAATTTCTTATGTTCAATATAATGAAATTTATTGAAGTTCTATTATCTCAATTAACATAACAGATGGCTTACCTTTGCATTACATTTTTGATCTTTCCATATTTTTGATGATAATACGAATTCCATGTGCTTCATACGCCACAAAGGCTTAAATAATATCTGATATATGCTCATTGATGGTTCAAGCATTGTCGCTAACGGTCCCCGCAGCGTATATTGTAACGATAAAATATCCCAACCGACATCACCGTCACAGGGTGACATTAATCTAACGTCAAGATGATTTAATATTTCCGGATCATCATATTGTGCGTTGGTCGAGCGGATTGCAGCATCCATTATGGAAGAAAGATCGTACGAATAAAGTTCTTTGGCGGGTTTATCGAGCTCCGATCTATCAAAGAAATAATGGTAATTAAAGTTGTTTCAATACAGGAAATGAAAAGAGGCATACTTTAAATTTTCCATTAAAATTCCGATAAAATCGCCTTGACCCAACAAAAGGTAACGGCGCATGGCTTGCAAATGTTCTAGAAGCTTGTGGGGTCCCATAACAATATCTAGCACATGCTTGGAAGTATTGAAATATATGGAATCTATAGTTGAATGCAGTTTAGTATCAGCTACACACGAAAATATATGTTCGGCTAAGAATATAAATGTTAATGTTCGACACTTTAGCAAAAAAAAAAAAAATATTTTCAAACCATTTACCGTTTTCTTCAATGCAGTGCCTTAGTTCATCACGACCCCTAATCGGTTGCTTGTCTTGGCAAATTTCGCAAAGAAAATTAATACTTTTACCGGTCACTAAAATTTTGTGGGCCAAATCGGTGGTAACAAAATTTGGTAACATTGTTGAGCGTACACGATATTTATCATACCATAAACGATCCGGACCAACTTCCACCAAACATTCAATAAAGAATTCACCATGCGGATCACAAATTTCACCTTCTAATAGCCACTTGGTGAGCATTTGATACAGCGGGCCACAAATTGCCAGCAATAATTCCTTGGCAACATTTCTTACCATCGGATTGCCATTATTTAAAAACCCGTGCACTGTGGAAGCTAATGCCCCACCTTTTTTTTCCTGACACGCTTCAGCAATATTCGCGAGCAGTTGCAGCCTTTGCAATGGATCTACTGACCATACCAAAATTTTCATTAAAGATAATCTTTCCGGTTTGGTATGACTATAATAGCTAAACATTTCGGTTTGCCTCTGTTTGTTCAATTGCTCTTGAAGCATAGCTACCATGCCATAATATTTGGTCAGTTCATTTTTCAAAGCCGAAACGAAACCTTGCCCCATTAATCCCAAAGCACAGCGACCACTTTTACTATCTGTGTACGATTGCACCAGGTCGTGATAATAGCCCAACTCGGCTAAACGGAGTAACATACCAGCTTGTACTACATTTAATGTCTTGGCTTTAATCTCCAATTTGAATTTACCCGATATTATGTCCTTTTTCAAATATTTGCCATGTATACCAGTAAATGCATAAATAACATTTTGAACAATGTCATCATTAAGATTATTTTGAGCTTCTAATATCTTGTACATGTCTGGTCCCGACCGCAACGGTGTTATATGATTGTTTATATTAGCTGGCAATATGCTACTCTCGCTTTCGGTGTAACAGCTACTCTTAGAAGCACTATTTTTCTGGCGCAATAGGGAAATTTTATGATTTACATCGGCAGATGTATTGTATATGTTGGAAGCCTAAAAAAACTTGCGTCAATCAAAAATGAGCAACTCATTAATCTCCCTTTTAAACTTACGCATGTTGCGCCGACTAAAGACAAATGGGGTGCAGCAACATTTGTATTACTAATAGGTGAGGCTTTGTGCAATGTATGTGGCTTCAAAAGCTGCATTGCATTGTTCGGCGGCAATGAAGCGTTCGGTTTATAACTCAAATGATTCTGATTTCTTATTGTACCGGTTATGCCGCAATTAATATTGTGACCATTTTCACTGGAATACTTCGCATCGGCCATATAATAAAGAAATGTTAATAGGCCACAGCGTTGATGTGAATCCAATTGCTAAAATTTTCAAGAGAATTACAACGTTTGTCTCTTAATAAATTAAAAAATTCCTTAAAAACAATATCACAGTACAGTTAAAAAAAATTTTGACAAGTTGAAAACGATGTTTGTTTCAAGTTTGAAAGGTATTCTTACTAACAAAGCAATTTAACTTAAAATACATGTACATTTCGCTGTGTGAATCTTTATTAAATTATGATTGCGCCTCCCAGCTGTCTTTGAATACTTACACTTGCTTTTAATTGTTCGTGTAAGTTTAAAAATAGCGTTGTTCTAGATTGGGATAACGCATTCTCAGGATTTGTCGTTAACAGTACAGAGGCCGTCACTATTGACGTCGACTGTGTAGTGTTGAGATGTTGAGCAATTCTTGCTACTAACGATACTTCATCGTAGGGCAATGTTGATCCCAACGCAGAAGGGCAATTAGATATATACTGTGTTACATGACGTAAAATATCCCCTAATAAAAACAAAAAACATGGGCTTTCATTAATTTAAAAGATAAATTCTTGCTTACACACAAAGCGAAACATATGTTCAAAACTCATCCTTTTCGCAAAAACGTGTGTTTATTTTAGAAAGTTTCATAAATTTTTCTATTCTCACGTAAATTGTCTTTTCAAGTTTAAATACGTTTTGTGTGTTCTTCATAAATTGTCATTTTTGACGTATTTGTTTTAAAACAAATCATAATTTCTTTAAAGTTTTACTTACTGCAATTATTTCTGGCGCCTACAAAACTTTTGCATAGACGCTCTAGTAAATCATAAATGTCTTTGCAGTTAATTCGTGTAATAGTGGCGTTATTGATACCAGCCGTTGTTGTTGTAGTTCCCACTGTCGGTGTTGTGAAAACATTAAATGACATAATTATTAACGTTGTAATTTTGTTGGAATTGTTGCCCAAAAGACAAATTATATAAAAATTATGGAATATTTTTCGAATTTCATAAATATGTTGATTTCATTAGACTTTTTCCTTCATATGCACTTTCACACAATCAGGGTAAAAAATGGTAATGTGTCAACAAGACGGAAAAGAACAAATGTAACAAATGTTGCAAAATCTTTGTTTTAATAAGAAAACCTCATAACTACTTTATACACTGTGGTTTTTGTAAAAGAATTTAAATAAAAATAAATAATAAATTTATTTTTATGGCTTCCTTTCTTTAATTTCAATTTTGTTTTTGCAACATAAATAGAAGTAAAACAAATTTTTTCAAATTGTTTATTATTGACAGCATTGCCTCTTTAAAACTTTTATGAATCATTTTACGGTTTTATGAATCACTTTACGGGATTTTACAACATTGTGGGTTAGTTAAAATTCACAAAGAAATGTACCCTTCGTGAAAAAAATTAGAAAATTATTGGACTTTTGCAACTAGTTTCTTATGAAAAAGATATTAGAAAATTCTGTAATATTCGTTTTTCTATTTCATTATCAAATATCACGCATTTACGAAAAACGATAAAATTTACAACTAAAACGTCTCTAACAATAAGATTCTGCTGATTTCTGCCCATTGCAAATATCTTCATATTTAAATTTAAAGTTGGCAGTGCTTTTATTTGTCATTTGTTATGGGCGTTTGGGTTTTTTAGGAAAGCGTGCCACGATTCCTTTTTACAGGAACTTTTTATATTTAAATAATTGCAAATATTTTTATAAATTCTTTTAACGCGTTAAGTATTCTCTAGGAATTATTGAATTGTTAATAAAGTGAGATCAATGTGTTTACTAATTGCTTGGCTGTAAAGAAACCGGCAAGTTTTTGTCAGCCACTTGGACATTATTTTCTTATTGGTCGTAAAAATTTCCGTTTTGAGCTTATTGTTGTGCAAAAGTTTTATAAGATTTAAACAATGGCAGTGGACAATGGAAATTTAGTTGTGAAAACACGGTTTTTAACTTGGGAAAAACAAGAGCATTTAGTAAAATTGTCAATTTTAATAATAGCCGCTGTTTTGTGTGAGTAGAGATGTGAAAAATAAGAATCTGAAATGCCACTCTGCAAAGCGGTCAATGCTGCCAAGATACGATAGTTGGGAAAATTTAACATAGCTTTTTGGCATTTTTGTAAAAAATTTGATTTGTTGTAAATATGATGGAAACAAATTTACAATAAATTGAAAGCGAAATCAAAATAGCTTTCATAGTAGTGCTACGCTGCTTTTCGATAACTGAATGCAAGTGCAGACATCTGGTTTTAAGAGCGATTTTTTTTTTAAATGTTTACTCATTCAATTTGGTAACATTGACACAAATGAAAGATTGACATTTTTTATGCGGTTTAGATGTGGTAGTGAAAATGAGAATTTCTATAACTAGAAGCGCATGCTCTTTAGTATACTCATTTGACTGTAATTTTTTCCAGCGTTTGCCACGAGGTTGTTTTCGGTACTACGTTTTGAAAGCGTTATACATGAATTTGATCCATATTTCAACTACCGTACAACGCGGTTTTTGGCGGAACAGGGCTTCTATAAATTTCACAATTGGTTCGATGACCGCGCCTGGTACCCGTTGGGCCGTATTATTGGCGGCACCATATATCCCGGATTGATGATCACTTCTGCTGCTTTGTACCGCATGCTATGGGTTCTGAATATTACAGTAGATATACGCAATGTTTGCGTATTTCTGGCTCCATTTTTTTCCTCATTAACAACATTAGTGACGTATGCATTAACTAAGGAAATTCATGTAAGTGGTAGATTTTTAAGGCTGCGTTTTCAAAGCACGTGTTAATGATGAATATTTATAAAATTCTTGATAGGAAGAGTATGATACATAATGAGTATAGTATATATAATTAAGCTGATTGCTTTGTTATTAACATTAAATTTCAAATTTTAGTTTTATATCTAATACATAAAAATTTGATCAATACTTTATAGAGTACGGGTGCTGGTTTAGTATCAGCAGCGTTAATATCCATTGTCCCCGGTTATATATCTCGATCGGTAGCTGGTTCCTACGATAACGAGGGGATTGCCATTTTTTGTATGTTATTAACTTATTATCTATGGATAAAAGCGGTTAAGTCTGGAGCTATATTTTGGTCGACAATGTCTGCATTGGCTTATTTCTATATGGTCTCCTCTTGGGGTGGTTATGTGTTCCTTATTAATCTTATACCTCTACACGTGTTGGCCTTAATGTTTACGGGACGCTTTTCGCACCGCATCTACGTAGCCTACAGCTCTTTGTACTGTGTTGGCACCATATTGTCCATGCAAATTTCTTTTGTGGGCTTTCAACCTATACAAAGCTCCGAACATATGTTGGTAAGTTTAAGAATGTCCATACCATCCAATATTTAATAAAATATATCCTTATATATTAGGCTTTAGGCGTTTTCGGTTTATGTCAAATTCATGCATTTGTGGACTATCTACGCTCTCATATGCCGAAAGAACATTTTGAAGTTTTATTTAAGTCTTTGGTTTCAACCTTATTAACGGCTGCTTTTATCGTTGGCATTTTGCTGACAGTAACTGGAAAGGTATCTCCTTGGACCGGAAGATTCTACTCTTTGTTAGATCCTTCTTACGCTAAAAACCATATACCAATTATAGCTTCAGTATCGGAACATCAACCCACCTCATGGTCATCGTTTTATTTTGATTTGCAGGCAAGTAACTATTGGATATATAAATGAATCGATTTAAAACTAGAGAAAATGGAATCGTTCTTAAGAATAATGTATTTATATTATTTCAATCGGCATTTCATTTTATTTATATGTTTATATTACTATATTAATTGTATATATGATAACAAACAGTGAAAATTTTGTGAGTTGTGGTTATTATTGCTAAGGCATAGGTGCTTTCTGCTCTAAAACTATCATTACTTGCTTAGTATTTTTTCTTTGTTCACAAAAATTACTTTTGCAAAAAAACAATAATTCGTTCAGTTATTGTTAACATATTGAAGTCGCAAGTCTTTTTTTGGTCATCTAGGAACTGAAATTGTTAGGAAAAAGTAGCATAACGTTATAGAATTTATTATAATACGGATAAACGATGTCCAACGAAAATCTACAAAAATGGAAAACTTCAATCTGAAAGAAGAAGAAGCATTGCACTTCGTTGATAAGTTGTACTCTTTTATATTTGCTTCAGTGCAGGAAATGAAGAACTAAAATTTATTGCGAAAATTGCATTAGGCTTATTAACCATCTACCACAAACCAATAGCTGAACATGAAAAAAATTTTTATAGGTGTGTGTGCGATTGGTTAATCGATTATTATAATCTTTATTGTTTTAATCGCAAAACATAAGCAAAAGGCTTTATATCAGTATCTGCTATGAATAGCTGTAACTCTTGTGTATTTTCAAAGATCCATGTGAAACTTAATTTGTAGTTGCAAACTATCTATCTATCTATACATATATACATTTTTATACCCATTACGATACCAGCATTATTTATATAAATTATTCTCATAAAGTCTAGTTTGTTTATAAAGGGGTTTCTTGATGGTTTCGCCTTGCATTGTTGCAACTTCAAGACGTCTAGCAACAATGCGAAGCATGTCGTATATATATAATAATTCCTATGACGATGTGCTAATTATTTTAAAGTAAACTTTAATATTTTAAGTTCTCTTGCTTTTGGGACATTTGTTACGATTTCAAGTAGAATGCCGACAATCAATGTCAAAATTGTGGCAAAGTGTAGAGATTCGAAAGCAATATCCTATACAGATACTAGATGAAGGAAATTGTTAAACATGATGTTATCTAATAAAATACTGAGTGCGCCTTAATGTTACAAAATGATTACAAAAGCACTTTGATCGCTGATAACGAGTACAGTCTTTTATTTTTTTTTTATTTTTTATTTTTTTGCTGATAAATAATCTCTTATCAGATTTTTCTCTTTCTTTGCAGATTTTAGTATTTTTATTCCCAGCCGGTTTATACTTTTGCTTCTCCAAACTTACGGACGCAAATATTTTTATTATATTGTATGGCGTTACCAGTATCTATTTTGCCGGCGTTATGGTGCGCTTAATGTTGGTATTGGCTCCTGTAATGTGCATCTTGTCTGGCATAGCCATATCACATTTATTGGCTAAATATATCAAATCTGTGGAGGCCAGTACATCATCGAAGACAGTAGAAAGTAGAAGGCAATATAAAAAATTGGAGCAGCAAAGTGGCGGTGTCAAATCGGAGGTGGCTATTGCTTTTGTCGGCGTTATAACGTTTATGTTAATAGTTTATACATTCCACTGTACTTGGGTGACTTCAGAGGCCTATTCCTCACCTAGTATTGTATTAAGTGCTCGTTCTCACGATGGCGGTCGTATTATATTTGATGATTTTCGTGAGGCTTATTATTGGCTGCAAATGAATACGCCGGAGGTAAATAAATTTCTGAAAAGCTCTTAAGTAGTATTAAAAAAAAAAAACCAATGAAATCCAGGAAAAAGATAAATAGTTTTAATCCAAATATTTTATAGCTAATTTAAAAACTATCTCCTCAGCTAACGTCGATTAAGGAAAAGCGAGAGACTTAAATTGTAGATGAAGTTTGTTTTAATTTTCACCATGAGTTGCTAATTAAATGATGTTCGTATCTGAAAGCGTCTTCAATTACTTCACAACCCCTTCTTCAGAACGCGCATTGCACAGCGCAATTGTTTAGTGGAACATCCAACATTTTCAATGATAACCATTTGAATAACCATTGTTATATGGAAAAGGGAATGTAGATCGGAATTAAATTATTTGCTTGATATTTTTTCATCGATAGCAAAACAATAGTAAAATAATAGCAACAATTAAAAATTTTTATGAAGTGAAACAAGTAAGAATATTATAGTAAGACAAGGTCGATCATTATATACCCTACATCATTTCCTCGAGTACAGTTATTCACTCGTCTAAAAAGCAGATTCATGTGGTCCAAATTCCCTGCTGTTAATTTCTTTGCTAAATTACTCCTATCGACCAATTGTCGTCGTAAAATATTAAAAAATTTGACCTTTTTCTAGACAGCTTATTGTTCATGAAAAAACTTCAAATTTGGTCGATTTAATTTTTATATCACTGCTAATTTTTACCCTGAAATATTTATTATTATTATTATTATTATTGTTATTATAAATTTAGCCGGAGAATAAATTCTAAGACTAAAGTCTTAAAGCACTAGCATCGAAGGCTTTTGGCTTTATTAAAAACTCTATCGCACTTGAGATTTGAGCCCACGACCATTGAGTTGGTAGTCGAGACTCTCGCTTACTCGGCCACTCAGGCGAATTGAAATTGTCCCCGTCCTGAACCAAATTTTTCATATCAATTTATAATGTCGAAATACTATTACTCAGCAACATTTGTCGAGAAATATTGATAATTGCCGCTGTTTTTTTTTTTCATATAACCATTTCTAAAAATAAGACGCTATTTGGAGAGATGTCGAAATAGCGACGTCAAAGCACGTCAATACACGAAATTTCATTCAAATATCTCAAAAATTTCGGCCTATTGGCTGAACACGAAATTACGTGGACAGACATTACAAATGTACAAATCGATAAACAAGCATAGATCGATTGAGAAAATAATGCTGAATCGATCAATATAATAAAAGGTGAGCCTATCTTACTTAAGTCGTTCTGGGTGTTGCATATATATCCATACAAACTTAATATACCCTACATCATAAGTGATGTAGGCGATACTAATCCATAGACGCATTCGGAAATGTGGGGGGCAGTTCTGCCAATTCACAACCTAAGTGGATTTCGTAATATCGATTAAGCGAAATGTAAAGAAAAACAACAAAATGTATTATAATGAGCCACGGCTTAGCATTAAATACCCTACACCATTTTGCTTAATACAATTATTTATTGCGACGAGTTTTCAAATTTAGGCATTAAATGAGAAATCGTCGAGCAAGTATTTCGACCTGAACCATTTTCAATAGTATTTGACTGACGGGCAGATACAATAACAATTCGCTGCGGGTGTTGTATGCACTCGCATAAACATAATATATCTTTGTAGCACGCGCGATATGTATGGCATAAAAAGATTTCTAAATAGTTTGTTGAAAATAAAAATTTATTTTCTACTGGATTTCATTATGATGAATCTTTTAAATTCTTGATAGGAAGAGTATGAAACATAATGAGTACTATTATTAAGCTGAAAATTAAAATTATTTTGATTTTTTTTTTGAATTTCTGATGGGCAAATTGTTTAATAATCGTTATTTTTATCGATTGCTGCAGGACGCTCGAATTATGTCTTGGTGGGATTATGGATATCAAATTACCGCAATGGCGAATCGTACTATATTGGTTGATAATAATACTTGGAATAATACACATATTTCTCGAGTTGGACAAGCTATGGCGTCCACTGAAGAGAAGGCCTATGAGATTATGCGTGAATTGGATGTCGATTATGTGTTGGTTATATTTGGCGGTCTTACCGGCTACTCCTCTGATGATATTAATAAATTTTTGTGGATGGTACGTATCGGTGGTAGCACTGATCGGGGAGCGCACATTAAAGAAAAAGATTATTATGCCGCCAATGGTGAATTTCGAGTTGATAAAGAGGGATCTTCCACGCTACTTAATTGCCTTATGTACAAAATGTGTTATTATCGTTTCGGGCAAGTATATACGGAAGGCGGTAAACCGCCGGGATATGATCGTGTCAGAGCTGCTGAAATTGGTAATAAAGATTTTGAATTGGACGTATTGGAAGAAGCTTATACCACGGAACATTGGCTAGTACGCATCTATAAAGTAAAAGATTTGAGTAATCGTGGCGTTTAAATGAATAAATCTCGTTTTATTTTTTTTATTTTTATTTTTTTTTTTTGTAATATTTAGCATTTCTTATCAATTTTGAAATATAAATAAGAAAAAGAATCGCAAATTTTTCCAATTAAATGCAAAAAAAGTCCAAGTTCAAACTATGTAAAGAATCTCAACTAGTGTAAGCGCTAGCGTATATGAAATGTCGAATCGAATTTGATAGTTAACTATGCTCTCTCTCTCTCTCTCTCTCTCTCTCTTTATCTATATATTTTTATTTTAATTTTTCTTTTTCGTAAGTAAAAAGACGAGAAAACTTTTTATAATTATAATATTAATAATTATTTTTCATTGATGAAATAAAAACGAAACATAAGAAGAAAAGGAACAAATGTTTGCATTTTAATATTTTATTTATATTCAATAAAGGCACACCATCAATTAGTTTCTTCTTAAGCGGTTTTTTTCGAGCTAACGGCATGATTGGTTGCATCCTCGGCATTTTTGGAACGATCTAAAGCGGTGAATGCGATGACATCCAATTTTGTGATGACAGCTTTTAAAATATCTTTACCATCTTTTTGCAATAGGAAACAAGAAAATTGTAGTATTAAATTATGATGGATAAAAAGTCTTATTAAGAGTAAATATTTTTTTACCTTTTTTATCGACTATTAAAACGCAATAATCAACTTCAAGGATGCGTGATACCTTTCCTAATATTGTTGATGAGCTTACGCGTATTACTTTCTTATTAATTGCTTTCAAAGCTAATTCGCTATGCTGACGATTCATGCTGACAATTTGCTTAATAAGAGCTTCCTGACTTATTACACCCAATATTGTGCTAAACGAACAATTTTATATGATCAGGAATTTCTTCAGGATAAATTTCTTATTCGCCTATTAACTTACCCATCCTCTTCATCTATCATCGGTATTTGCGCTAAATTATATTTTTTCATTATTTCAATAGTTTCGGCGAATTTCGCATTCGATTTAATAACTATTGGTTTCGATAATTTTAGATCGCTTACGGGCACATTCCACCACCAGTGTTGATGTTCATTTACCACATCTTTAAAGTCGCGCGCTTCCATCCAATTATCAGAGACAAATTTGGTCATATAATTTCGTATACCATCCGGTAAAATCACAACGCATCGTTGTCCCTGCTTTAAATGTTTGGCGAAGCGTAAAGCGGCCGTCATAGCCCCGCCAGAAGAGCCACCGCATAGTAAGCCTTCTTCAGCGTTTAAACGTCTACTCATCGGAAAGCAATCTTGATCGCAAATCTTAATCCATTCATCTATTACGGTATAATCTACAACGGTGGGAACGAAATCGTAACCTATACCTTCGACTTCGTAAAATTGCGTATCGCTCTTGTTTAGCGACGCGGGTTGTGCCAAAATTGAACCATAAGGGTCTACGCCTACTATTTTACAACTAGGCAGTTCCTCCTTAATCTTGCGAGCCAGACCGGATATAGTTCCGCCTGTTCCAGCTGTACAAACAATCATGTCGACTTTATTATCTAATTGCCATAAAATTTCGGCGCCCGTGCCATCGTAATGGGCTAAAGGATTGCCCGGATTACGATACTGATCGAGGATTATAGAGTTAGGTATCTCTTTTTGTAGACGTTGAGCTACATATATTAGACCTTCAGGCGAATCAAATGCAGCCTCCGTTGGAGTGCGGATAATTTTAGCGCCTAACGTCTTTAAAGCGGACACCTTTTCATCGGACATTTTTTCGGGCATAACAATCAGACATCTATAGCCTCGGACAGCACAGGCCATAGCCAAACCGATGCCCGTGTTACCAGACGTAGGCTCTATAACCGTATAGCCTGGCTTTAGGAGACCTTTCTCCTCCGCATCCTGAATCATGCGATAACCGATTCGGTCCTTAACCGAGCCGCCAGGATTTAAAAATTCACATTTAGCATCTGAAATATCAATATTTAAATAATATAGAAGAAAGCCTTCGCTTCCGATTGCTATTCTCATACTCACACATCTCGCATTTAATGCCCTCAGCTTTAGGTATATTATTCAATTTAATTAACGGTGTACAGCCGATAAAATCTAAAATGTTTGGGGTAATTTTTTGGCGATGAGCTCTGAAAATATACAAAAAAAAAAAAAAAAACCTATATACTTTCAAATAAGAATCGGATCGTAATGGTCTCACATTTCTTTTTGTGTGTGTATACTTTTATCCTTAGTACCCAATTTCCAGGTACATTTTGATGGCTTCGATGGATCCACGAAATCCTTCGGACGTTCGTATGGTTTATTTGCAGGCATTTTTATATAAATTTTCCTTTCCTTTATTTTCTCTTAGGCAGCAAATCTGTAATAATTTATGCACATATATATGTATGAATAAGTATGTATGAATGATGTGTTTGCGCTATTAATGAGTGGTACTCGTACATTATCATCACTTATGCGGACTTCAATCAAAAGTGATCGTTAGGTTCAAACTTTCAGTTTTGAAAATTTATTTACAATGATTAAATAGCTTAAGCGGATCGTGAAATAGATTCACGTCACCATAAGTACTGAAATGCATGCATATTTATATTTATATGCGAATTTTGTTTTCCTTTCACGCGCGATTGTTATCAATCTCTGTTCCGTTATAGTTTGTGTTCATTAAACAAGACATTAGATAATTAGTTTTTGATGGTTATATATATATATATAACCATCAAAAACTAA